TGCCTCCTACTAATCGCCCCCTTGCTCACTGCACTAGCCACACTGGCCTCGCTGTTCCCTGAACACGGCCCGGCATGTTCCAACCTCAGGAGGATGTGTCCCCCGCATCTCCTTCTGCCTCGTTCCCTTGCTTCATTCAGAAACTTCGCTCACCCCATCCCTGCTCCCACCCTCTCTCCAAAATAGCTCCCTGTCATGCTGCACCCCGGGTGCCCTGCCTTTTTCCATACACAGCGGCAATGCCCTCCGGGCTTAAAGTTATAGATCAGGTTGGCATTTGTTTATTGCCTCTCGAACTGGAATGTCAGGCCCTGGAGGGCAGAGAGACTTAACTGTTTGGTTCACTCCTGCACCTTCCCAACCTCCAGTGCCTAGAACAGTGCCTGGCACAAAGTAGGTGCTCAGGAAAGTCTCCTCGAAGGAATGAATGTGTAGAGGAGAATGCCATACAACAGGAAGAATGGAAGGAAGCCATTTCTGCACGGAACCCTCCCCAAGATGAGAGCGTTGAGTGGAGAAAGGAAAGGGCAGGATGTGCAGTGGGCGGGTGGGTCAGAATTACCCGGAGAGCATGTTAAAACCCGAATTGCTGGATCCCGCCAGAACTTCTGGTTCCAGGCAGGAGCCCCCCAAATAGCATTTCTAACCGGTCCCGTGTGATGCTCTAGTCCAGGGGTCCTCAAACTACGGCCCGCGGGCCACATGCAAATACAAATATTGTATTTGTTCCCGTTTTGTTTTTTTACTTCAAAATAAGATATGTGCAGTGTGCATAGGAATTTGTTCACAGTTTTTTTTTTAAACTGTAGTCCGGCCCTCCAACGGTCTGGGGGACAGTGAACTGGCCCCCTGTTTAAAAAGTTTGAGGACCCCTGCTCTAGTCCAGTGGGCCTCATTTTGAAAACCACTGGCATAGTCTCTGGGACCTCACACACTAAGTCACTGGAGTTTGTACAAAAGCAAAGCAAAACTTGGTATTTGGGGTATGCAAACTGTTTCTGCCAGAAGATGCATCAAAGAGGTCTGGAGGGACGCACCAGGTGGCCCAGAGGTGATTTCAGGGGAAAGGATGCATTCAGGGAGTCAAGTGAGGGATCAGGGTCCCGGTTGAGGAGGCATCGTTTGGGTCCTAGTTCCCAGGGTTCAGATTCAGCTCTGGCGCTTCCGAGCTGTGTGACCCTGAGCAGGTTACTTCACCTCTCTGGGCCGTGGTCTCCTCATCTGTAACAGGGCATCCTTCAACCCCCTCTCTCCTGGGGTTGTTGTGAGAATGCAATGAGTTAAACCAGCAGTTCCTGTGAAGCACTTAAGAAATGCTAGCTTTTATGGTCACATGAAAGCTCTGAATTTCCAACAAGGAAAATATAAAATCACATTTACTTGTGTAATTAAAAATACATACTGGTGAGTTCTCCAGGTCTCATTTCAAAGCTGCCACTGCAGGGAAGGCAGGAGTTTGGGGGACAGAAAGGAGAGGCCTCCTCTATGTGCCTGAACCCCCCTCCCCAACTCTCCCTCCCTCAGTCTATTCTAAGTCTGACCTCATTCTTTCCAGCTGCAAAGGCAGGAATCTTTAAAAGACCAGGTCTTTGGTCTGAATCTGGCTCCCCATTTGCCCACAATGCCTAGTGGGCTTGAGGGTGTCGAGCTCAAGCAGGTTTCACATGAGTGTGGTTAGGGCTCCCGGAGACCTAACCCCTTTGCCCAAACTTTTTCAGACCTTTGTTCCTCCCCTAGTCTGTGCCCAACTCCCTTGATCTCCATTAGGAAGTCCTTCTGCGAGTCTAACTTAAGTCCTTCTTGCTGGAAGGGGACCTTCTTCCTTGGTGGGAGAGAATAGGACCCTCCCCCCCCCCCCCCAGGATTCTTGCCTCTTCTCTCTGGCATACCCTGTTCCTGCATCCCCATCATTATTATTAGAAACGAATGAAGTCTGGCTTCAGTGTTCTTGCTTCAAAGGGATTGGGAGGGGTAAGTAGTAAGACAGAGGCTCAGGAGTGAGTAGAAACCTCCACCCCCTCTTCAGAAGGACCCAGGAACCCCTAACACCAGAGGGATTTATATTTAGCGCTTCTCCGCTCCTCTCTGCGGGGCTGTCTCCCTCCCCTGCCTGCCGCCGCCTCCTCCCTGACGCTGGGACAGAGCTTTGCCTGGAGACTGTGTGTGTGTGTGTGTGTGTGTGTGTGTGTGTGTGTGTGTGTGTGATGGGTGGGGGGAGAGGCCTCTCTACTA